GCGGCGATGGCGCCGGGCCCGCCCGCGCGCGCCGCACCATGGCCGCGCGGCCCGCGCTGCCCCGGCCCGGCCTGGCGGCACCGCCGCCTTGCTGCGCCCTGGCGCTCGGGCTGCCAAACAGCCCCCTAACATCCACATCGCCAGGGTCGTGCCGAGCCTGGGCGCAAATGCCCGTTTCTCGGGAGGCTGCTGCCTTGTGTGGGCACCCTGCAGCTTCCCCGGGTGTCCGCGCGTGCCGCGCRCCCTGGCCGCGGGCTCTGCCCTCATCCCGGGAATTGCCTTTGCAGGTCCAGCCAGCTCTGCTTGAGCAATTCCCAGCTCCAGGGCTTGGAGACCCGGGGCTGCTTGAACACGGATGCAAGGATGGACAGCAGCATCCCGGGGACAGAGCTTTTCTCAGCCAGAAGAGGTAACAACCAATGTACTGTTCCTAACCGACAAGTGTATATATAGATAGATATTTTTTTCCATCCTTTTTTTTTTTTTTTTTCAATCTTTGCAAATTGAGCTTTCTCCTTGTCTTTTCTCTGCTGACTTAGGCCAGACGCCCTCCTGGAGCCATTCCCTGGGAATCCTTCTGCCCTTCTTCTTTTAGGTTATAATTTGGGGCTGATTTTGGCCCTTTTGGTTTCAAGGAATGCCACGCGTCCTCCTCACTCAAGACCTGGAGTCCTCGCATCTGGTTGACTTCTCTGGTCAGGTCTCATCCCTTCTCCGAGCRTGTCCTTTGAAAGGGCGAGCCCGAGCTTCTGCAGCCTGCCTTGCCCTTCCTTTCGGGCTCTACTGTGGAAATCACTCCTTCCAAGGTTATTTTCATGTCCAGCTTTTTCTTTTCTTTCTTTCTTTTTTTTTTCCTTCCTTCCTTACCAAAACTGTGCCTAAAATAGCAACCCCTCGCGTCGGGATTTGGGGAAGATACCTGCTGCCAGCAAGGTCAGCATTTCCCACCGCTTTCCCTCCAGCACACAGGAAGGTCACTGAGAGCTAAAGGCTTTTTCCCTACATTGCTCTYCCGAGGTCACAGCACTGCCCAGGGTGCCGGTGGCATCAGCTGCTCTGGTCCTGGTTGTCCTTCCCGAGGAAGGCAAGAGGCTGTGGTTGCATTTTAGAGGTGAGAACTGTCCGGAAAAAGCTCACGGGACACAATCCACGCGCTAGCGATTCAGGAATACTTTGGAGAGCATTTGGAGAGCTGCTCCCTGGCAGCACGACTGACTGCCAATTTGCGTGCCAGGTAATTTATAGAAGTTACCAATTCCAGTGATTTGGAGGCTGGTTTCCAAGAGACTTGGGATGCCCGCATCCCGAGGCACCAAGCCTGCAGATTTGCTCCGGCAGCAGTTTGCATGGATGCAGGGATCTGACTGCAGGATGGTGCCCAACTGCAAAGCGTTTAGATGACCCTTCAGGAGTAAGGCCTCCGAGGTGACCACAAGCAGTCCCAGCAGTTTTGAGTGGCTCATTTCTTTCAAGAATGCACTTTTCAAACTCCCTTTAACTAACTTGCATAGGTTTTACATTTTCTTTTTTCAAGAGTGTCTCACCCTTAGTGCCACCGGGAAGGTGGGCCAAGGGCTGGCCTGTTGAGCAGTGACTGATGCATTTCCCAGTTCGATTTCACCAGGCTCAAGAGAAGAAGTGGGAGAGGGGGATTCATCGTGGCCTCTCCGCGCTGTGGGATTTCCCCAGCCCGGAGCTTCACATYGACTTGGGAAGACACCTCGGTCCGGAGGCAGCAGCACCCCTGGGGAACGCGGAGCAGCCAGAGCTGCTCCTGCTCTTCCATTCCTGCTGGAGCTGGGCCCGCCCCGGGAACGCGCCGTTTAATTCCAACAAGTTGGTCCTCAGGTGGTGCAGATACAGCTGCTCACGGTGAACAAAATGGGGTTTGACACCGGAGAACCTGCTGGGCTCGCGAGATGTAGGTCTGGTGGGGAGCTTCAAAGGGTTGTGTTTTAAGCCACTTCTCCTCCATCCATCTTTGAATATTTTTGAATCTCCAGCAACAGTAGTTTTTATGATGAATGAGCAGGAGACAATGATAAAGCCACAGAGAATAAAATGCAAGAAAAGTCAGGACTAATTATATTTAAAATTGTGCAAATATTTTTTTTYCCCTGATTGTTTTTAGAAAAAATCAAATATTTGAAAAATGATCTCAATGACCCCATTTAAAGATGGGCTGGCTCCTTTGATAAAATATGAACTATTTGAAAGATTTATAAGGGTCAAAACGCCTGCTGAACATTTTAGTATTTAGAGCAGCAGGAAACCGCTCGGTGATATTTTTAAAACAGGTATTTACTCAAGTAATTGCTTACTTTTTATGTGGAATAAGAAGACCTGATGTAGCTATATTGGACTTGACATAAAAGAGAGGTATGTAATTTGTGAGCAAAACAGAGTGGAACGTACACATTGTACCTGCAGAGGTATTTCGAGAAAGACAACTCCTTGAGACAAAAAGCCAAGACAACAGCCACGCCGGGTCGCATGCCAGAATTGTTTATTCCTTGGTTAATGAGCTGTGTAATAGGTGTCCAGAAACAAGCCCTTCTGCACAGGTAGTTTAAGTTTCAAAGTTCGCAGGCTTTGTGGCCTTCATAAAACGGATTACATGGAAGTCGGACGAAAAACACATGTTTCTGAGAACATTTTGGTTCAAGTAAAAAAAAAATGTGGCAATGTTAGTGCCAACAATTTACTACAGAATATCTGAACCAGATGCCGTTAAACTATAATTCCAAGCAATTTGCCAGAATTATGTATTTGCTTTATTTTAAAGTCAAACTAAAGATATGCATGGTTTTTATTACTAGTGGATATAAACAAAAATGTGATGTGATTATAGCTAATATGGGACAGATAATGCCAGACAGCCCTGGTTTCTGTGACTACTGCACTAGCTAAAGAAAGAGGGAAGCTTTTTTGGCAATTATGTGTGAAAGGGTCTTCAAAATGTGGCTGTTCAGATTGAGACATATCAGACTGCAGGCTGCTTAGTCACTCCAGAAGAGCCTTGGCCAAACGCTCCTATTCCTCCCTTTTTCTCACAGTAGTACAGATTTTTCTTGAGAGAATGGGAGAGAGATCTGTAAGACACACTGAGTTACTTGCATTCCTAACTAGAATAATATGTAAAGTAAAAATATATTTTAGTTATGAATATGTATGATATTCTTGTTGCAACATTGAGGTAGGCAAGCTCCAAGTCAACCTCCAACTTGCCAGTTCTTATCCAGATAAGCTGCTCTGTGATGCTTCCCAAGACAGATACTGCCACCTTGAAAGGACACGGTGAGTTTTAGCAGGTGTTTTAATGCCATTATGTGGCATTCAGATTAAAAAGGATTCTGGTCCCTCCTACAAGCTGAAACAGTCTTTACCTCCTGTCAAGAGGCTCTCAGAAAACCTCAAATAATCTCCTGCAGCCACGTGGCCACCTTGGTTGGCTGTGGCTTGATGCAGAAGAGTGCTGAACATCCTGTGACACCCACATTCCCAAATGACTCCAAATCAGCAGGGAGAAATTACACCACAAACTGGAGAAAAAGTTTGGGGAAGAAGCTTGGATTCAGAGGATTGTTCAGCAAAGTCACCAAAACAAAATCCCCCTGTGCGTCGTAGAGAAAAGACGGATCTGCAAGTGATTTGCAGTGGAATCCGCGGTCGGATCCAGACAACAGGATGCTGGGACACAGTGAGCTTCGTCTCCTGCCCAAAGGCTGCAGTTTCACAAGAAAGTCATCGCAGCTTTTCTGCAGGAACCCTGCTAGTTTCTGAGGAAACACACTCTCATATAAAGCAAAATCAGCTACTGGGTACCCTGCCAGAAGATGACCTGGTATATGGGGTGTCTTCTTGATTTTATGCACAWCAGGGTTAACATGTGCTTAGTGATGGGCGGGATCAGAACCTGGAGATGAACTTCAACCTGTGGTACAAGATGACTTGGCACTTTTGAACTTGTAAAATCCTCAAGCAGTAGCTCTGGGAGAAAGRAGAATTACTACTATGATGCTAAGGCCAAAGTCAAATGCAAATCATTCAAGCAACTCCAAGTGTCACAGCTGATGTATTTATAAGACACACCCTGCTTATAGGTATTCRTGATGCAGTTCTGTGAGGCAGAAGTTAAAGAGAGGTGAGCTTTGCTAGTTGCAGGGTGTCCTCCTCTGCTGCAGAGCCGGTTTCTTTCCTGTGTTTGGTTTCCTTGGGCTTTCTCCACATTGGAAAGACAAGTTCCTCAATGGAGATTGCACCATTTTTCTCTGGAGTGAGAGTTTTAAGATAAATTTTTTGTTCCCTTTTTCTTCCATTCACCGTCTTGTTGCTGATAATACCCCAAGGAGCCACAGGTGATAGGAGCAGGGAATGTGTCAATAGAACCAGGTAGCTGCAGTCTTAAGTGGAATAGAACCAGGTAGCTGCAGTCTTAAGTGGAATTCATTTCACCCTTTTCTTTGCCCTGGAAGAAAGCACCTTGCCCTTCCTGGCATTCCAGGTCACGCTAACCCTACCACCTCACCGCCAGACCAAAGAAAATGCTATTGTCTGGCCTGCCAGGACTATCAGAAACCCAGCTCAGGTAACGGGACTGTAATTCCATGGGGCTCGCCAAGAAGGAAACAYGCCAGTGTAATTATAGTAGTAATTATAGCACCGTAGTCACCGCCCACAGAGTACAGCTCTCTGCAGAGTACAATGATTCCAGCATCACACTCCAGACAATAYAGTGCTCTTAAATTTCCCCAGCCGCCAATCCTGGCTCTCTGTYTGATTGACCTCAGATGGAAAATGAATCTGTCTCTCCTGTGAGTGGCTGTACAGATGCCAGCAAGCACTGACTGAATGGGTGGATGGATGGCTCGCCTGCCCCTCCTAAACCTCCTTCTCCTTGGATTCACTTCAGCCAACAGCCCAGTGGAGCGATGCTGAAAGGAAAGGTTATTTTTTTTTTCATGCACAGCAGATAAGGGTGTGTGAGGTGCAAATGCACCCACCTGTCCCATCCCCTCACTGCCTTTCGTCTTCATGACCACATTTCACTTGGCACATGTGGATGCTCTTCTCACTGCTTTGGGACTTGTAAGTGCAGCWCGGACAAGGATCAATCCCCAGCTCCGACTGTTCCTACACCTAAATGACCCGTCTTGGTGGGACCTCTTGCTTCACTTGTATGGGGCCCAGGCAGATGCTGAGCCACACGGCACAGTCTGCAACTGCTCTGCTTGCAGGTGAGGCGTGCGCGGTCTGTGCCCTGCACGAAACAGCTCATGGATTTGCATTCTTCCTCCCRTGGAATAATGACTACTGTGAATTGAATTTCCTGTAAAAAACCCTAAAGCAACAACAAAAAACATAAGAAAAACAACAAAAACTAGGCCTTTCTGGGAATAGATACTTGTCGAGCCCTGTCAGTGGAGACTGAGACGGTTTCCCAAGTCTTGTCAGCTGCGACCAGCACTTGCAGTCAGCGGGCTGTAAAACCAGGGCTCACTGTGAGCAGAGCCAGCGAGCTGAGGCCCTGCCGGTTCATGGCTACTGGATGTGCACTTACCAGTGCTGAAGCAGGTGACTTCGAAGATACATGGGAATGTCCTGCTGCTCCTCTGGGATCTACTGACTTCTCTGGGACCACGTGGGTGCAGGGAACCTGCATGAACTGATGTTTTTGCGGAGCTGATGTCAACATCAGCTCTCAAAGTTGCCTTGCTACCTCCCTTCCCATATTTATCACCAAGCAACAGCAGTTTGTCCAGGGTGACACCTGCTACGTCCCTCTCATCGGTATTTACTTGTAGCATCACTTCACAGGTCTCTGATGTGACTAGGCCGCGCAGTGGCCCTGCCTGTGCTGTGTGCGTGGTGGGTGCCCCGGCCCGTGTTTACACCCTGTGCCATGCACAGCGCATCCAACACCAGCCCTCCTGCTTGGGGGGGTCTCCACACCAACGCAAAGCCCGTCTTTGAAGAGCCAGGTAGTTACTAAAGACCTTGTCTAACATCCTAGCAAGACCAATCGGCTGTTTGAACCAGTTCAGTGTTCATAATAATATGTGGTTCAGAGCTGAGTAAAAGGCTATAATTCTTTTGAGGGGTTCCACTGACATAATAAACCACGAGTGCTCGGCGAGTCAGCAGAAAGCAAAGCCGGGATTACAGCTGGGCCCATCAACGTGGGGCTGCACGTGGTAGTTTATCATGTCTGCAAAGGGATTGCTGCAAGAGGCTTTCTGTTCTCCATTGCCATAAAGCTATATGCCAAAACGGGAGAGTTACTGCATGCTGTTTGCCGTGAGAAATCCCTGATAGATAATATTTTTATTCTCTTTCCTCCTTCAGTGTAATCAGACTTTATTCTGGAATCGTCTCCATGGTTAGAAGTCAGTCCTTCCCTCTCTCCACCGCCGTCGAGCTGGGCTGCCGCGGTGCCCGCAGCACCAGCTCCACATGGGCTGCTGCGCGGACGCCCCTCAACGCTGCCGCCCAGGGGCTGTTCTCCCTCCGCCCTGAGAGTTTCGCTGGCTCTGGACCAAGAGTTTGGACTCTATTTCATTCAMATGGATCCTGCGTATATTCTGTGCRGGTCCTTTCCTGGGGGACCGCAGCCACTGCTGTTCTCATGCCCTGTAGTGGGTCCCGTTTGCCAAAAATGCTTTGATTTTTGGCTGATGACGTATTGTGTTTGTAAGTAGTTAAAGACTGTTTCAAAACAGAGATATGTTTATGTATATATAGAAAAAAATATTTTTATGATAACCTTAGGAAACCAAGTCAATAACTAAGGAAATCAATGGACATGGAAAAAAAAGTCATAAGGGTATTGTTTATGAGTAGATTATAGTCAGATGATAATAGCTAGCAGGATGAGTCAATTGCAGAGACAGAATTGACATGATGGATACTTGCTTTAATACCATGTACTGAACTTTCAGTACATCTTGTTTTAGGATTCAAATTTCTTCAAAATCCACAGGAATAAATTGGGCTCTGGGTAAATGGTTGAGACAGAACTGACTAGAGGGTGGAATGTGTGGAATGAGACCACAAACAGCGTCTCCATGGTCCTCTGCCATCTCCCAGGCCTCCTCTTCCCTCTGCCTATTCAGACTTCTGGATTTACTCATTTAATGTTCTGATAATTCCTGGCACGYTGGCTGAGGTAGATACGGTCTCAGCTTTTCGGTCTCCTTCCACCAGCAGGAGACAACTGCTCCGTGCGCCGTTCCAGGCAGGAAGGCTGGGATCACCCCTTCCCCAGCCCCCGTGGCCCACGCAGCGCCGAGGAGGCCCGTTCCAGCTCYGGTCCCAGCTCCAGCTCTGCTCCGTCACGCAATATCTGTGGAGCAGGAGGCAGCGCCGGCGCGCGGGCTGCAGAGGTGGCCCCGCTCCTCAGCCCTGTGCTGGGGAATGTGGTGGCGATGGGCACCGCGCACTGAACTCCGGCCGTCTCCAGCTGCCAGAGGCTTTTCGGGAAGCCGTAGGCAGGGCAGAGCTTAGAGCAGACTTGAGACTGGTATAAATTGCACTGAGGTCAGCCTCGGCTTGGATGGCCCTGCGCTTAGATTGCCAGAAGGTTTTACAATAATAACAGCAACCAGCCTAACTAATGACATAGCAATACTCATTTATAAGATTTATGGGAACACTGTATGTAATGATTCCAGCACATACAAGTGGGACTGAACTTCTTTTTAGCCTCCTGAATAGAGGCAGCCATATAATACACAGGAGCTTAGTGCTCAGCGGAGCATCCAGCGCTGCCCGTGGCTGGAGGAGCTGCCTACATCCATCATTTCCAATGGYCCCGTTAGGAGTTTTGAAAGCAGGAACGGCACTTGGCTGGTGTGGAAGCTCCTCGGCGCCCAGGTAGCCTGCTATCCACATGGGATCGCCGTGGTCATCTGCACCGTTGTGCAGTGCGTGCAGGCACTGCCTGTTTGTGTTCGGGTCTCTTATCAGGGAGTATAGAGCTTGCATTGCCTTGGCTGCGCCCGTCCTTGTGGGCAGACTGCCTGACTGCAGCGGGCTGAGTCCTGAGATCATACCAGCAATTCCTCCTCTACAGCCACTCTCCCATTAGAGGCTACTGGGACACTCTGGGGCATTTCCAAATTCTTGTGCATCTGTCTGGGAGCGTTACGGAGTTCCCTCAGCATTTGCCCTTCTTTCAATGAATGTGTGTGGCAGTTTTTTGTACCAAACAGGCCCAAATCTTTGGGTGTGCATTTGCAGAAATAGGCAGTTCATTTTCTGCACTGCTGTGTGAGAGTGGTTGGGTGCAGGAACTACAGCGTGCCCAGGCCAGAGAATTTATTCCGCAGTGCCACCCCAGGGCACCTTGGCGAGGTACGGGCACGTGGGTATGTGCTCCCCACGTGTGCCTGGAAAGCAAAGCAGGCTTCAGTGCAGATGTCCTCAGCTGGCTAAAAAGCAGTGAAAATAGCTTCAGACTGGTCTTGTGACAGCGTTATACAAGAACAAGCCAGGGAGTTTTATTCTGTGCATCAACAGAGCTAGCGAGAGGGCCGGGCTCCGCGCGGCYGAGCACGGGCTCGTTACCCACGCTGCGGGGAAGGGGGAGCGCAGGGGCGCCGCACGTCCCGCACAGCCGCACGTCCACCCCGTGTCCCAGCATTTAACATCCTGGCGCTGTAACGCTGCGCGTCGCTTGCTCATTGCCTCTCCTGGGGCTTTCCTGGGCGACCCATGATTCTTTACGACGTGATGTGCAGGCACTGGAACCTTGACCTGTGTGTGCAGAGGCTGCGGGGACACTGAGCAGCAGCCAGCGAGGCAGCGAGGAGGGGGCTGCTGTGTTTGGAGGCGGGGGGGAAGCGCTGCGATACCACAGGGAAGAGCAGTGTGGAAAGGGGAAAACAAGCATCTGTGTGCTTTGCTGAGCAGAGCTTTGCTAAGCGGAGCTGGTGGCATTTCTGGGGCTAGGAGCAGCACCGGCCTCTCCCAGCCATCCCCTGTGGGTTTCTCTGCTCAGAGCTGAGAGTACTATGAGCTTCCCATGCTCAGAAAATCATCTCATGGCTCATGAAAAAAACAAAATGTTAATGAGATAAAAGTGCTGTGTGAAAACCCCACGGAGAGGACCCAGCAGCTCCCGAGGGACTGAGATGCCTCTCCTATTTCCCTACCTGCCCATGCACTTGCACTTGCCCTTGCTTATCAGTAAGGTCCTGAATGAATGGAGCCAGCATTCGTGTGTAGCACATTGCGCTACAGAGCCCTGCATCTCAGGCAAGCAACGGAGCTGCCTCTGCGCGTGGTGAGTGGCCCTGTCCCCAGCGTCCTGCTAGCGATGCCACGAAGCTGTGCTGATACCACTGTCAAGCTGTGARCACGAGAGGTTGGCATCAGAGGGACGGTTCTGCACGTGGTGCTGCGGGAGGGGTGGCTGCAGCTCCCTCTGATCCCTGCTGGGACCTTCTGCAGCTCCCAAGAACCCCTCGCTCCAATCCCCAATCCCAGCCCCTCATGTAATGCCCCAACCCCTTGCTCCAGTCCCTCATTCTAACAACMTCATCAGCCTGCACTTAAACCAGGGACAGCCATCCAGCAGCTCCAAAATCACCACGCTTGTCAGACAGTGACGAGCAGCCCAGTGCCGCTTAGGCGCAGCCCAGTGCCACTTGGTTACCTGACACAGCAGTTCAGTGCCTCATCCGTGGGGTTTCGAGCCAACCTCCTGTGTGGTTTCTTGGGACCGACAAACRGTCGCATCACCCCGGTGTGCCCAAGTGTGTGCCTGAGCTAAACAGCTGATTACGTCCCCTGGGAGGAGGGCAGGGTTTGTCTCAAGTCTAGGTCTGCTCCCTGCAAATTTAAGCTCTGTCTCATTAAAATTATTTGGAATCCCTTACTCTCCAACCAAATGTTCCCTCCATGTCTTAAGGAAGCAAATGAAACAGTCTAAGTGAGCAGATCTTCAGTTCCCAAATCGTGGGTTAGATCATGCATCACTCTGAAAGGTCTCTTGAACATTTATAGATTTGAATGACGTTCAACAGAGCAGATTCTCACTAGTCATTTTGCCYTAATCTTTGGGTACTGCTTTAGCCTGATGGTGTTAGAGGCACCCCCCATCTAAACTGTGAACACATTTTACCCTTGGTGTTTTATCCAGGGCATCTGCTATCTGGGATAACAATAGATACGTCTGTAAATCAAAGTTGCAATAGTCAGTGATTTGCCTAAGTCTCTCTTGGCATTCCTTCCTGTTGCAGTTGGGTCTGCTGAGGGCAATTTAGGTAGTTCCCCCTGGCTCYGCTCCAGGACGTGCTTTTGTTTCTCTTTCTCTGCCATCTGACGAGCGTGATGATTTTGGAGCTGCTGGATGGCTGTTCCTGGTTTAAGTGCAGGCTGATGTTGGCTGAGGGGTAGGTCCTAACTGCTTCATCCCTCCTGGAGAAAAAAATAGTGTTTCTCAAGAGCCGCTCTCCTCGTTACGTCTGCTCTACCCCTTCCATGGTTGCATCTGCCAGCCTTTACTCGGCTGAGCTATTCCAGAGCCAGCGTGTGACACTAGGCACCCTGAACTCTGTCCCTTTGGCGTGACTTTTCATGAGCTGCACCTGCCACTCGGTCATGTCAGTTCTTGTGCAGAACGTGGTCTTTGTCCAGCATAGACCATCTTGGCACTACATGCTGATTTCGGCCAGCTGGCTGAGGCGGCATCATTGCACTGGGAATTCTTTGGGATATCACTGCATTGGGAGTTGCTTCGACCCATTTTTCTTCTGAGCCAACATGGGTGACACTTCATCTCTGCCATCCTGAAGCGTTGGTGGAGAAGGCACGAGCTGCCCCTGCAGAAAAGGCATTTGTCACCATCACTAACAGATGGATGAACTAACTCCAAAACAGGACTTTACTCAAGGAATGAAGCTACAGAATACCCTGGTACAGCAACACTTAGCTCAAGTGGAAATCCCTCAGAAAAGCAACAGTACTAGAGATACTGATCTTTCTATTAAAAGTTCACTCCTTAGGAAGACTAGAACTTCACTAGGAGCTGCATTTCTCTTGCTGTCTGTTTAGTTCTTGCAGTTCCCATTTTCTTCAGCAGTGCGTGCTTCCTGTGGGCCYGAGCTATTTCGGATCAGCAATGTGGCTTTCAAGTGTCATGCCCTCAGTGGCAACTGCATGTCCAGCTCTTCACACAGGCCGTAGGGATAGCTGCTGATGACAACTCTGCTGCTTCAGCAATGTCTCGTTTCCCCCGATGCGGTTTCCCTGCTCTTGGGCAATGCTGTCACTAGTGACCTTTGTGTCCGTATCGCCTGCAAATGTGAGCTGGCCTCTCAAACCCACGTGGGAAGCAGCCTCCTCTGTGCTGGGGACACCTCGGCTCGCGCTTGGGCCTCCTCCAGTTTCTAGCCTGTTCACTAATGATGCTTTTCTCTTGAAGGGCTGTGTCCCATGCAGAGGGGTCACCCCGGGGCTGGTGGTGCTTTAATAAAACCCCTATTTCTGCTTCCCTGGAGGGGGCTTTCTCTAATTTAGGCTCATTCAGTACCTCCATTTTCTCCATCAATGAAGGTTCTGAAGTTTCTTAGTTCAAGTGTTTATGACCTGACTTTTCACAAAAGCTTTTCATATGGAGCCCTTGTGGGGACYGGTGTCTTTTCAAATCGCCAGTTTTATGTTGAGCTCAGTGCAGGCTGCTCCCCAAAGCCACTGCCTGGCTGAAGGGCTCCCCCAGACCCTCCTGAAGCAGGTTTCCCGTGGCACATTATGTGCCAGTCCCATCTCCTGCTTCCTTTAGTGTTTCAACAGGTTCTTCCTCATAACGGTCTGAAAACTGCAGAGAGTGCAGGGAACAGAGGAGAACACAGCTCACCCAGAGCTGTTCGGAAGGAGCTACCTCAAACCCAACCATCTTTGGCCAACTGCAGTCTCACCCGCGCCCTTCTGTGTTTCGTCTCCAGCGCAGCAGCTTCTTCAGCGCTGCAGACTGCCACCTGCACTAGCACCTGCTCGCGGAGCGGCTCACAGAGAGCTCTCTAGCAGCAGGACGCTGCTCTCCGTCCCTCAGCTCCGGTGCAGGTCACAGCTCGAACCTGGGCCGTTCTGAGACGTAACTCCATCCTCTCTGTAGGCCCAGAGGGCAGAGAGATGGCAAACATAGGGGTGGCAAAGCAGAAAGGGAGAGAACCCTCCTGCCTGCAGGCTGTTCTTCCTCAAGCCCGGGATAGCATTTTTTCATACTAATAGGAAAATGCACAGGTTTCCTTCTGCTGTTGAAACCCTGATGTCTTAAAAAGGGAGAAGTACYTTGAATTTAGGCTCCCGCTAGTGTCTCTGTGAGTGTATTTCCAGGATCAGATTCTCTTGCTCAGTCGTTCATTTGGATCCCCAACACAACAGGGATGAGTGCCATAATTATTAATTTATAGCCTTTCTCTTTTGTTATTTTTTTTAGCTTTTTATTTTAAATCATGAGCTCAGGCACTTCTGTGCATCATTTGCACAAGGATTTTTTATTATTGTTATTATTCTGAACTTGGTTTGTCAGTTGAGATAGTAGCAACGTTAATGTATGACTGCAAAAGAACAGTATGTTTTCATCAATCATGTTCCTGAGCAGATCAATTCCAATGAACTCTTGCTCAGGAAATTATGTGAGTCTTACTAAACATTTGCTCTGAAAATGCATTTCCTGGTTCGAGGTATTTCATGGCATGTTTGCTGTTACAACCACGCTTAAACAGTTGGCGACTGGATCTGGCCTGTGACTTATGGTGGTGGGTTGTTTATGAATGCAAAGCAATGTTTTTGCTGCAAATTTGTTTTAAAAAGCAATGAAGCAGTCCACTAAGGGCAAAAAAAACCCTATATTTTAGAAGTATATGAAATTTAGGAGCAGAAGACAAACGTTCTTATTTAGCTTTCTCTTCTGTGAACCTACTAATATCCTTTTGAGTGATCTTCACCAAAAAACGAACCCAAGTGATTCTGAGGGTGTTTAAAAGAAAGTAGAGAAGGAAAAACCAGCCCTTCCAAAAGCTCTGCCAAAGCCTGAAGACGCTGATGGCAGAAGAGAGCTGCTGTGATTGCCTTGTTCTYGACGTGATTGACAATGTGTGTGACAGCCCCTGTGGCTCCGTACAACTCAGCTGGAGTTTTTCCACTGGCCTCAGTGGGAATTGACTCAACTCCTACATTTGTCTAATGTGTTAACTGTGTCAAGAGCTTTGCGACACCGCTGACTATGGTAGGGCTGATGATCTATTGGATGATAACTGTATCTGAATAGGACAGACGACCACAGGAATTTCCCGCAGTGTCTGTTGCATCGTTATTAAAGCCAGAGCTATCGTATGGCTCTGAGAGGGCAATTTCATAACAACAACTGTAGATTTTTTCCAGGAAGTTAACTTCCAGGTTGCCACCTAATCACCAAACCAATGAAGGGCTGTTGAGAGCAGTTTGCTTTTCACGGGATGGTTATTATTTTTAACCATCGCATCCTTTGGTACTAATGTTTTTGATCAAGAATTAAAAAACAATATCTGTTTTCTGTTCAAGCAGGAGATGAAAACAACATCATGGCTAAATGTATAAGAGGAGAGTCTCAATGGCCCCCTGGRCATTTCTGTCACTGAGGAGTGTGGCAGTTCATCGTTTAGGGTTGTGTCTGAGGGTGCAGAAGGGCTGAAGCTTCAGCAATTGTTGCGTTTAATTGGTGTTAAATAATGAATCTGCCCAGCAGTTACATCTGTTCTTGCTGCCCTGCAATGGGGTAGCCTTGGGCAGGCCTCTCCTATCACTCGAGCACATTATGAGGACAAACAGTCCTTGTAAGCTTGAAATGAAGCAATGTTTCACCCTGCAGCTCTGTTGATCAACCCTAGGAGCTGTGTCTCTTCCCTTCCCAGCTCAAAGCAAAGCATGTTTTGCTTCTGAAGAATTTTCACAGCTGACAGATTTTACTCTGCRAAGATCCCCCTCTCTGTTTTGACCACGTAGAGCCTCTTAAAGCCCTTGTGGCAACCACGGTTGAGCCCTGAGGGCCTTCCTTGGGCTGCCCTCTGCCCCTTGATCGCCCGGAGTTCCAGTTGATTTAAGAGGGGGGTCCTCTTGAGGAAGAGGAGGAGGAAGGGCAGGATTTGACTCAGTACGTTCAGTGAAAGGATGTTAACCCATAACCTGCATTGCCTTGCCTTGGCAGTATTGTTTTATCTCGTATATCTGACACCCTCCCTTTCTSTACTTACGTAAGAAAATCGTTTGTACTGTCAACAGTTCTGTTTAACCTTTAATAATAAAATTAGTAACTAAAACCAAGAGGCCCAAGTCCTGAGGCCCCTTTTTGGGTAAAGTTTCCATTGCAGCCAGTGGCAGCCTGGCCAGGGACAGGTTTAGGTAAGCCCCGACTGCAAAAATCGAAGTTTACCCCAATGAGCTTTTCCAGAAACTTCCATGTCTGTTCCACGAACAGCAACAACTACAGCAATGGGGAGAGAAAGTGCTGGGGGAACCTTGCTGCATTTTGCATTTCATGACTTTATTGGATGAGATATCTGATGATACCAGGTTTTTCTAATTCTCATTTTTATAAGCTATCTAATGTGCAGAAACATCAACTCTGGGCATATGTTCCTGTCCCTGGAGCCTTGTTCAGACATTAGAGAAACATTTTCTAACTCAAAAGATAAACACTTCTGGTAGAGTTCAGGGACGGAAATTGTTTTCATCGCAGCAGGTGTTGCCTATTAGTTCTACTAGAACTAAAACCCTAAGCTGGGCTTTAAGTGAGATGCATAATCAAGCTCTTACATCATTGTGAGATGTACCGTACTTGAACCTTTTGCTTGCTGAGGCTGTATTTCCTCCAAGAAACATCCTGTTTTGCAATCCCCCAAATTCCCCATGTGCCATACGGCATTAGGGATTTCATCACCTCCCGGGCACACAGGCTGCACTTTCTGCAAAGGACCCAAAGGGAGGGAGAGACAGCGAGCCAGAGGTTTCCGTATTTCCTGGTGGGACCATGTGATCTATGAAAGATAGCTTTATTTTCATTCCTCCCCCTCCCCTTCGCTTCCCGCTGTTTCCCTTCCAGCCCCGGCTGCTGGAGGCAGCCGATTGCATCATGTCGAGGAAGGGATCGTGCTCTGCTCGGTCCTGTTCCATGGCTGCAGGTCCCGTCTTGCTTGGAACGGCCTCGGCTGCTAAAACCTGGACCAGGAAAAGGTGTCGCTGCTGGGAGATTTGTATCGTTATCTCCAGCCGGTTTGGCATTAAAGGCAGGGCATTTCTTTGCAAACTACAGCTTTGTATTTGAGAATATTTGTTAGGTTGTAAATCATTCTTTTGTATCTATATTGAATCTATATTTCCCTTTTCTGGAAGGTTCTTTCTTTTGGACCAGTTTGCCCCAGCTGAATTCACTGAGCTCATTACTCTGGGTTCCCTAAGGGCCCTGATTGCCCTGACCAGCTCCACCTGGGCCAACGCACCCAGCTGGCCCCCCAAGCTGATTTAAGGCTCAGAGCACTAGAGAGCCCTTTTGGAGAGGTTGTGTTTGCCTGGGTTCCTTGTTGGGGATTTCTCTGGCTTGGCGCTGTTGCATCTCAATAGGCTTCTCCAGGGATCCATGGTGGTGGCTGGACCTGCTCAGCTCTCCCTCAGGTACGGGGGGGCTGCCATCCTGCTGTGATCCTGGCTCCTGCACTGCTTTCCCTGGGGGGCAGCCTGTGTTGTCTGCTCCTTGGCAAGGCTGGAAAAAGCCGAATCTGGCCTCGGGTTAATGCAAACACTTTCGAGAACTGTTTGCTCTAATTGCTGTTCGCTTGTTATATTTTGTACTACTGACCTAGGTCACGTTCTGCAGCCTGTTTATGGCTCTGCTGCCTTTTTGCAGGTCACGCTGCAATTGCAAAGTGGGCTGTGTAGCAACAAATTCCACCTTTATTTCTCGCAGTCACTGATGTTGAGCTAGGGGAAATAATGAAAGAAAGCAAAAGCATGAAGGAAAATGAGGGAATATCTGCTGTTTATTGGAGAGGGTTTTTCTTAACTTTCTCCTTTAATAAAAGAAAGGTAGGGACAAGGCAAGGATGGGGGCCTGGAGTGGCCCAGGGAAGGTGCCTCCAGGAGCACTTTTCCCTCATCCCACTAGAGGGTGGGTGCCATGGGGATGAGTGTCCCGCTGTGGCCGCCTGCGCTCGGCGAGACCCTCGAGGCGGCCGGAGCTCCGGGGGTGCCCAAAACAGCTAGCCTGGGGGTGAGGGCAAGTGTCTCCCTCTCTAATTTAGTCTCCATAATGAGAAAATGCAGTGAATTTTAATATACAATTTGATTGAGGCAAGCGTTTCCACTCTAAGTAGCTTAAAACAAGTCAGAAATGCCTGTAGTGTTGTGGGGTTATTTTTTCCTGTTGATTAGCAAGTTCTCCATATTGGTGTGTTGCACTAAACTCAGAGGCAGAGCAGTTAAGGTTCTGTTTTTTCCCCCAGAAACAGAAAAATAGGAGAAAACATGAACTGTTTGCTTTTGATTTAATATTTGCAGCATCATTGTTACAAAAAGAGGTGTAAAAATAAAGCCAGCAATCTGTTGATCCAGTCTGGAAATGAAATGCAGTTCCTACAGAAGTATCTGCACTTTAGGGAAAATATGATTCATTGTATTACTATCAGTATTATCTGAGCCAGCTTCCCTAAACCCTATTTCAGATATAGCAGGCCAGAAGATATCATTTGAGTGTGTGGGTGTCTTTATTTTTTTCCTTTCTGTTCTCTTGTTTTCTGTTATATGAGCTGAGAATTCAACCTTGTCTTTAGAGCACTGCTAAAAGGTTTTGTTAGCTGAGCTCCGAAGCTTGTGTAAGAAAAAATGCAGTAAAGGTGAAAGAGAAAAACTCTTTAAAAAGTGTAGGGTCAGAGAATGTCTCAAAAGAAATTGTCTAGCATTTATTTGGAGTGGGATAAGACAAGAAAGGGAACTGGATTCAAGAAAAGAATCCTGTGGAACTTCTTCCTCAGTAAAAGATGGCATGAAGGTAATTAAGAAAAATAAGGTTGCTTTTTGACACAGTTAACTTGTAGAGTCCAATACTGCTGAGTGTAGCAAAAAGTCTGTATTTGATGTTCTAAGAATAAGAAGAGGATCTGCAGTTATGCAAATCAATCCTTCTTAAAGAAAAAAGAAGAAATTTCAGTCCTCCAAATTTAAGATATGGAAGACCATCAGGACAAGTGTTATGAAGACAACTGGGCTAACCCAGTCTGATAGTGTGTGGTTTACATAACAGCTTAGTCTTGTCTTGGGTTGAGAGCAGAATATTGTGCAATGGTCTCAGGTGCCTTGAAAGCCTTGTCTCGTCTTCGTCTTCCTTTAAAGCATCAGTGTTGGCCTTTGCTAGAGACAGAAGACAAGAAGAAGATGGATCATTGGGTCTGTTCTGGCATGATGCTTCCTATGTTTTGTTCCACAGAAAGGTTGTGATCAACAAAAACACTGCCAACCTAGGTCACTTGCCAGTTTATGAGCAATGGGATTGCTCTGCTGGTTTATTCAGCCCTGGCTATTTTTGTTGTTATTGAAATGTGACATTGGCTGACAGCTCTGTGGGATCTCACATATGGAGACTGCTCCACAGGGATGGGAGAAACTGGACAAACTGTAGTGGGTTTACACATATGGGGCCAATTCATGCCTGATGAACCCCTGTGGAAGTTGGCGCTGAACCAGCTGAGAGGCTGACCCATCGCATCCACTGACTCATTGCGGTGCTGTTTGTCATGATTAAAGCACTTGAAATGTTTCCCCTAATGGGGGATCATGCTGAGTTTCAGCATGAGCTGCTCTGCTGTCCGCCTGTTTCTGTTGTTGCTAGATCTTCTGGAGCTGTTTGTGCTTGTTTAAAAGGGGAGCAGTGAATGAAGCTGGTGGTTGAAGCTGCAAATGTGGTGGAGTTGGATTATGAAAATGTTTGGCAGTCTTTGTCAGCTCCTTAAATATATGACGTGAATGGGTATGAGACTGGATAAAGAGGAGTTGGGTGATGGAAATGAGACTGGAGTGGTGGAAAGCAGAAGACATGGGAATGCCAGGATGATTTGTTCAAGGGCAATCTCCATCCATCCATCCTGCATCTGAGTGCTTTGGACGAAAGCAGCACTGCCGTGTTAGTGCTGTGGGTGTCTGCAGAAGGCAGTCCCCTAACAAGATGACCAAAGGTGGAGGGGGAGCTTGTGCAGCTGTGTATGATGAGATGGGGTAAGAAATTGAGTCAGGAGATCTGTATGTGAACAAGGGCAGTTGAAACCCCAGCCCAGGCTGTGGCCCTGGGTGTGCACAGCTGAACTTGGCCCTGGACACTGGCCCATATTTGATGTATCTTAGAGAAGGTGCTAAGAGCATAGGTATGAAGGTAAAATATTGTCCTGTTTTCTCAACTCATGACCGTGGTTCAGGAAGCCAAGAAGCTAAAACTGGAAGATGTTGGTATGAGTGATTTAGAAAAACCTGGCCAAACTCTATCACCGTAAGTAGTCTCTTAGGACACGTAAGGCCATGTATAACAGAGCTCGTTTCCATTGCTTGCAGTGTATAATGGAGTATGGGGCTAGAAGAGAAAGTGTTTGGAAAGAGAGGGGGGGAGAAAAGAAAAATTAAGTGTGAAGTTTGAAAAGAATTGCAAGGCTGTCATCTCTAGAAGAGAAGCAGAGAGGCATCCTGTCTAAATAATTCAAGATGCTTCGTGTGGCCCAAAAGTGTAAATAATGATCTGGCAAGTGGAAGAGGCTTTAAGAGAACTGGCAGGGATGCTGCCTAGGCAGAAGGGCAGTGCAGACAAAGAAGTCAAGCGGGCAGGAGAGTATGAAGGTGACCTGGTGGGGCAGAGCGAATGGGAGGCACCTTTCCTGGAAGGAGATGCACGTACTGGTTAGGTTTCTGATCTTCTTGTGAAGCTCATTGCAATAATTTGGCAAAGCTGCTAAAGCTGGGCAGTGGAAGACACAGTATGAGGCAATGGGGAAGAAGCAAGAGTGGCTCCTGAGCTGTGCTTGTTCCTAAAGCTGAGTATCTTGTGCTTGGTCTAGAGCAGTCTCCTACTCGTGCCCGTTAACTGGATAGGGACAAACATGAAAATGCATCAAGCAAATAAGATAACAGAGTAAGACACTATGGCAATAGCATTTTTTCCTCACGATAAATTGCTTAATAGTAGTCTGTTGGTCTAGCCTTGTGCTTAAGCTCATGTTTAAGTTCTGGCTTGGATCAAGTTGCTAGCGCAAATATTGTGCATAAATGAGCACAGCAGGCCACAGAAGAAGCACACATGGCTCTTCATATAGCTTTCTGAAAACTAGTGAAGCTTGCAAGCATTATGTGTAAAAAAGCAATGAAAGCCCTGTCTAATACCAAAGATCTGTTTCAGAGCTGCTTTACTCCCCGTGCTTTGGGAGACAGACTCTGCCAGACAACAGGGCTCGTTCCTGACTCCCAGCCTGAGGTGGTGGCTGGTGAGGCTGGTTTGGAATTGGAAGACTAAGCAAGAGCCTGATCAGGGATATATGGGTGGTTGCTGATCGTGTTTATAGATACTTCAGCTCGTGGAAAAAAAGCGAAGAGGTAGGAAAGAAAAGGCCAAGACAAATGGAGCCAGAGGACCTATGGCCCACAGAGGAACTATGAGCAGCAAATWAAAGATAAAGGGAGAATGCAGAGATGAGAGGACCTGAGAGAGGGAGCATGACTGTCAGAGGTGGGCAGCCCTTTACAGGCAGAAGATGCAACTGGTGAATATGGAGCTGCTCAGCAGTAATGCCCTTATGTCTCGGGKTTTGCCAAGGCCTTGATCTTTGTTCCTGAGTCTGGCATCTTAGGTCTGTGTTAGTGCTGCTCCAAGCCTGGCTGCAGGTGCTGGCTGCCCAGCTTGGGAAAGGGCCCTAGCAGGGCCCCCTTGCCTGGCTCTGGCAGGGCTGCTCCGAAGGCTGGGGTTGTTCCTGTAAAATCATGGAAGCAGCAGCTAGCGGGAGGGATTTTGCCCATGTGTCTGAAAGTAGATGTGTTCAGTCTACCTGCCGGGCATCCTGAGAGATTGTGTCACCCACTTCAGCATCTTGCTTGTGCACTTCATCTGCAGCCTCTCCAGGGAAGCCTTCTCCCTGTCTGGAGGTAGTTTGGAGTTCATGTATATTTTTTGGAGAGCCACTGCAGTCAACCACCATGCATTACAGCTGCAATAAAGAAATAAATAAATGCTCCTACTCCCTGGAAGCTCAATCAAACCACAGTACAGATCTGACAGCTGTCCAAGCAACTGAGAACAATCAGTCATAAAGCAAACTGCTTTAAATCAACAAAGAGAGAACCAGAGATATACCAAATGAACTATTGGTTGTTCCAAGTTTTTATAACAGAGGGGTGAGAGGAATAATTAATTCTGCAGACTTTACACCCCCTCCTCTTTTTTTTTCTTGAGAGCAGCAGTTATCCAAGTCAGTAAAAATGAGGTAATTATATTGCAAAATTCTTTGGATGAGAATGAGATTTGCGTTCTAAAATCCGAAGCTACATTTACCCACAGCAGAAAATTGCTGGAAATCAGGAGAATAGCAGCTTGCATGTTTATTTTTCCTAGAAGAAAACAATTGACTCTTCAGAACTCATTTCAGAGT